TGTCGAATTGAGGACCACATCTTCTCTCCAAGCCCCAGGCCAGAGGCCGCATCCATGTCTTTCCCTCAGACTAGGGTTCCAGAGGTGTCACTTTCATTATACAGGGGTCATTGGTTGGGGGGGGAGGGAAGGGCCACATATTTTCCATAAGACCATGTCTGCCTTTTCCAGTACACCAGGGCCACAGGTGGGGCCTGTATCCCCCTCACCTCAGACTGGGAGAGCAGCGTCTCCCCCATCAGACGGGGAGGGCGGCGTCTGCCCCATCAGACGGGGAGGGCAGCATTTCCTCCATCAAACTATGAGGGTGGCCTCCCCCACAGACCAGGAGGGCAGTGGCTCCACTGTCCCCGCCCTGCCTGGCTCACCGCTGTCGAGCAGCTGCCGCACCACGGGGAAGTTGGCGTGGGACACGGAGTAGTGCAGCGCAGTGTTGCCGTTGCTGTCGGCGATGTTGACCACATAGTCCAGCAGCCGCGCCGACATGGCCCGGAAGGTGACCAGGTGGCGCCGCACAAGCTCTGGGTGGGCATCGCTGCGGCAGGCCAGGCGCAGCCACTCCTGCAGCACCGTGGTGTAGGCCACTTTCTGGTTGCAGATTGGGAAGGAAAGGGGTGTGAGGGCCACGGAAGCCCACCCCATCCCAGACGAAGCCCCCCAAGGGGAGTGCAGACACCCCACCCTGAACCCGAGCCTTGAGGGGAAGCATGGGCGCCCCACCCCAGTGAGCCCCCCTGGAGGAAGATGCAGTGTCCCCTGCCCTGTACAAGAGCCCTAAAGGGATGTGTAGACACTGCAGTACCAGGTACGCCCCCAGAAGAAGGTGTGAGCATCTCCACCCTGGATGTGACCTTCAAAGGCCTGTGTAGACACCCATCAAGGGAAATATGGCAGCCCCTTCCCTCCAGCCCCCGAAGGAACAGGAACCAAGGCTGGGTTTGCCGGCGGGCAATCGTCCTTGGCCCCTCCCTGCCTCCCTGGAGCCTCTCCAAAGACCAAGACTCAAGCCTCGGAGCCCCCCACAAGCTCCCAGCTAGGATCCTGGGGTCCCCATGATCCAAAGCACAAGGAGAAGCCAGGGTGAGGGTAGAAGGGACAAAGCCCTCCCCGCCCCGCTTTCAGGCCCAGGGCCCCACCATACCAGTTCCCGCTCGGTGAGGGCATTGGGGTTCTCCAGGTACTTCTCCAGGGCCAGGCAGGCTGAGATGAGGTCGGGGCTGAGCTCCATCCTGCCGGTGGCAGACAAACGGGGAGTTGATCTTGGAAGCACCCACCTCAGCCTCCTGGGTGCCCCCTACTCCCCACATCCAGCTGGGGTGCTCGGAGAGGCCCTCAACACTCTCCACCAAGGCACTCACCCAGTCCTGCCAGGGCTCACCCGAGTGGTAGAATCTCAGACCCCCTTCCCTGGGGACATAATTTTACACAGCACCCCAAGGGGCAGACATGGGGAGCACACAGACCCCAAGAGAAAGTGGACACGTGGGCCAAAATTTATTCCAAGTGGCCAGTGGCAGATGGAAAATCTTTCTCTGAGGACAGATTTTTTTTTTATCAGGGGGAAAAAAAAAAAGAGACATACACAGGATGGAAAGGTGTGGCAAATGTCCCAAAGAAGGTGGATGGCTTAAGGACAAACTTGGTCTGCCCCTTAAACCCAAACCTGAACAGCCCAAATTGCCCCCATCAGGCCCTTTATCAAAGCCTCCGGACCTTCAGATGCCCAGAAGGAGAAAGTGCTTGTTCACTAATTCAGACTAAGGTGGGCATGACTGATGGGAGGTTCCCTCAGAGGGTTTGAATGGTGGGATCTGAGGTCACCCCAGGCCCTGCCTAAATCCCTCCCACACAGAAAACTGACCGGATCTCCTCTTCCGCACTTGATCCCGACGCCCCCTCAGCTGTGGGCGCCTGCTGAGACTCCCGGGACAGCTGGCACTCCTCCCGGCTGATCTTGGCCTTTGCCGTCTCCTTGGGCCTGAGCTGGGGGGCTTCAACCACACTCGGAACCCTCTCCTCCGGCTCTGGGGCCTCGTTCTCTGTACTGTCATTGTCCGAGAAGTTCTCTGCTGTGCTGGAATCCTCGGATGAGGACTCATACCTGGGGGAGACGCTGCAGGTGGTGGGGAGGGTCATTTGACCTCTCTGGGCCTCAGTTTCCCCATCTGTTAAATGGGGGTAATGGCAGTATCTAGCTCACAGGGCTCCAGGGATGCAGCTTATAGCACCTGGCACACAGTAAGTGATCAACAAACACTGGCCGTGATTGTGATCATGCTTGGGGGGGCCAGGGAGGGACATTGCTTTTCCCTTCCACCCTTTGCTCCTTACACAGGTGTTATACTGATTCAGACCCTTGTCCCACTGCAAATAGGACCCTCATGCTTCTTGCTACCTCCAAACACATCTAAACTTCTGGGCCTGGCATTCAAGGCCCCCAACTGGCCCGGTTCCCCAGGCCTCCCCCTTTTTTTTTTTTTTTTTTTTGCGGTACGCAGGCCTCTCACTGTTGTGGTCTCTCCCGTCGTGGAGCACAGGCTCCGGACGCGCAGGCTCAGCGGCCATGGCTGGGCCAGCCGCTCCGCGGCATGTGGGATCTTCCCGGACCGGGGCACGAACCCGTGTCGCCTGCATTGGCAGGCGGACTCTCAACCACTGAGCCACCAGGGAAGCCCCAGGCCTCCCATTTTTCACGTCACTGCTTCCTCCCACCCCTGAGCCTTTATCCAGGCTGTGTCCTCCATCAGGAGACCCCACCCCTCCCACTCTGCACCTCGGAAGCTTCTGCTTGTCCTGCAGCACATGTGCTCCCCTCCGTCAGTTATTTCCTTGGTCTCCCCACTGCCTGAGCATCCCCCATCATTGCTCCAGTCATGTTGTGTTGGGATCGCCTATTAGGGCCCAAGATCGCAGTGGACCAGGAGCTCCATCAGGGCAGGGAGCCGAGTCCGGCACCTCCCGAGGGGTAGTGTGGTACAGTGGTTGCAGCACAGGCTCTGGAGCCAGCCCACGGGGCCTCGTTGTGCCTCCGTTTCCTCGTCTGTCTACTGTGCTTTGGTTAAATGAATGAACCATAAAGTGAGGGGCTCAGACCAGGTTCTCTCACCTGCCGTTGACCCCCACGAACTGGAGGCTCCTCCGGCGGGTCTCGGGGTCTGCGGGCTCCTCTTTCCGCTTCATGATGGATGGCACACCTGCCGGGGGCCCTCCTGGTGGGGGAGCGTGCTGTCGTGAGGGTCTCCCGAAGCCAGACCCCGTGCCGGGCCTCTGGCACCTGACCCTCTCGGTGGCCACCCCCATTTACCTGCACCCCCGGCCTCCTCTGACTCCAACTCCTGTGGGGCTGCTTGCCTGGTAGGCTCCCTGTTGGTGGCATCGTGGGCAGGCACCAGGCCTGTGTTCTTCTCTGGCTGCGCGAGGGAGTCCCCCTCAGACTCCGAGGGTGACAAGGATGACTCTGCAGGAGCCTGTGGGAGACCTGAAGGGGCAGGAAAAGAGGTGCTTACTGTGGGTAACAATAGCAAAACAAGAACAATAACAACGGCTACCTCCTGGCGGGGGGGCTGGGTCACATACCCCAGGCCAGGTGCTCCAAGGGCTAATTCTTGCATTAGTTCATCAAATCTTCCCAGCCCATGCAGAAGTTGGATTATTTACCGATGAGGAAATTGAGGCACACAGATTGCCTGAGGTCACCCAGCAAACAAGTAGCAGAATCCATTCCAACCCTGGTTTGTTGCCTGCCTCGCAGCGGGTCAGGGTCAGGGAAGACTACGAGACCCCATAATCCTGGCTTGTGACCCCCTCTGACTTCATACTAAGTAGTGTCTGGAAACTATAGCCAAGCATAGTAGTCATGGTCGGGACTCATATCTCTGACAAAAGAGCTGTGTGACCTCAGGCAAGTCACTTAACCTCTCTGTGCCTTGGACAAACACCATTTCCTACATCATGGCATTGTGCAGACTAAAGACAGTAATGTGAGGGAGAGAGCTTAGAACAACACCTGCACGTCAAGAGCACTTGAAGAGCATTTGTTAATTCAAGAGAATTGTAAACTATATTTTGATAAGATTTAATATTATACTTTTTTTTTAACAGAAGTAGGGTTGTGCTGTAGATAACATTTTGTATTTCACTTCCTTCTTCTTTACTTAACATAAAGCAGGGGATTTCCCCGGTGGCGCAGTGGTTAAGAATCCATCTGCCAGTGCAGGGGACACGGGTTCGAGCCCTGGTCCGGGAAGATCCCACATGCCACGGAGCAACTAAGCCCGTGCGCCACACTACTGAGCCTGTGCTCTAGAGCCCACGAGCCACAACTACTGAGCGCACACGCCTAGAGCCCATGCTCCACAAGAGAAGCCACCGCAATAAGAAGCCCGCGCACCGCAACGAAGACCCAACGTAACCAAAAAATAAATAAGTAAATAAATAAAAAAAAAGAAATTAAGCAGGTGTTCCTTTCAATAATCATGAAAAAGAAACAATAAGGGCTATTAGAAACTGAAAACTAAAACCCCACCCAGGTGGTTTCAGTTTGGGCCAATGAAAAAGTTCTGGGAATGGAGGGTGGGGACAGTTGCACAACAATGTGAGCTGGACACTCAAACATGGCAAAAATGATACCTTTTATGTTATGTATATTTTATCATCATTAGAAAAAACCCCGCCCAGTTTGGCCTGAGAACAAAGGTGACATTACAGGACCTGGGCCCCAAGGGTGCCCACTGCACAAACGGGAGTGGGCTTGGCAGACAGCTCCAGCCCCGGATCACCAGCCTGGAGCTAGAAACAAAAGTCCAGTTGCCACTTGGAGTGGCTGCCCGGGTCTCGGAACCCACTCAGGTTTCCCCCCCAAGCCCCGCCCCGGCCAGGCCACGTGTGGCTTCTGTGTCACCACTTCTCCAGGATGTCCCCTTCCTGCCAACTGGCCAGGGGCTCTGCAGACCAATTCATTTTAATTCCCTTTAACGGTTAACTTTTTTTGACATCCACAGTAACTACTTCCTCAAGTCCATGGGCAACACTCAACTTGAGCTAAGAACAGGGAGTAAACACTCAGCAGAAGTAAAGCACATAGAACGGATAAGACATTGGCCATGAATGCTTCCGACAGCGCCCCAGCCCAGTCGGGCCAGGCGGATTCCTGAGCGGGGAGCTCCAACTCCCATGGGGAACCAAGAGCAAACACCGGGTTTTTACATGAATCTCCAGATTGTTTTTTAAACCGTGTCAATAAATTCACATCAAACAAACAAACAAAAGCACTATGTGAGTGGAATTTATCAGGAGGCAGATGGGCCACTTCACGGTCTCACGGTTGCCCGAACTCAGGCCTCCTGATGTAAACACCTGGGATGTTTGTTACTCAGCAAATCAGACTATGCTCAGTGAAAGAAGCCAGTCACAGAAGGACAAATACTGCATGAATCCACTTATATGAGGTTCCTAGAGGAGTTAAATCCATAGAGACAGAAAGTAGGATGGTGAGTGCCAGGGGCTGGGGAGTGAGTGTGTGATGGGGCAGAGATTCAATTTGGGAAGATGGAAAAGTTCTGGACAAAGATGGTGGGGATGGTTGGACAGCAGCGTGAATGTGCTTATTGCCACTGAACTGGACACTTTAAAATGGTTAAGAGAGTAAGTTTTATGTTATATGTATTTTACCGCAATTTTTTAAAATGTGAAAAAAAAAAAAAAAGGTGAAGTGGTGCAGCTGTATGGCCCGTTCTGCCCGGAGGGAAAAGCATGGCTCCTTCCAGCTTGAGAAGTTCAAGGTCAGACACTGCAACACTAAAATAACAATAACAAAACTGATAAGTTATTATTGTTATTCTACTGGGAGATGGAGCAAACTGTTACCAAAATTTATAAGGAAGAACAAAAGTCCATGGCCAGCTAATTTTACAAAAATGGGCAGGGATGGGGAAGCTGGCTTAGGAGACAGTAACACATATTCCCAAAGTCACAATAATTAAATCAGCAGGGCATGGCTGCAAGAAGAAATGGGCCAAAGGAAAGGAGTTCCAGCACAGACCCTGTCTGAAAGAACTTGGGGTAAAGCAGAGGGCTTTCCACAAATCAGTGGTCAAGGGTGAGCTCTGTGGGGTGGTGTAGGGAAAGCAGCTTACTCTGCCCAAGGAAAATCAGGCTGTATCCCTACCTCACACCTTATGCAAAAAATAAACTCTGAAGGACTAATATGAAGGCACAATGACAAAGCTACAGGAAGAAAATATGGCAGAATATCAGTGGCCTCAAGAAGGGGAAAGATCTCTTTACAAAGCCCTCTGAGCACTAACCATATATGAAATGTATGAGGTGATCTCACTTAAATGTGGAATAAAAAAAACAAAAACAAAACAGAAAAACCTCAGAGATACAGAGAACAGATTGATGGCTGCCAGAAGCAGGGGATGGGTGGGATGGGTAAAGGTGGTCCAGAGGTACAAACCTCCAGGTATAAGATACAGGCATACCTTCTTTTAGTGGGCTTCACTTTATTGTGCTTCGAAGATACTGCATGTTTTTTACAAATTGAAGGTTTGTGGCAACCCTGCATCGAGCAAGCCTATTGGCACAATTTTTCCAACAGCATTTGCTCCCTTTGTATCTTTGTGTCACATTTTGTTAATTCTCACAATATTTCAAGCTTTTTCATCATTATTATATTTGTTATGGTGACCTGTGATCAGTGATCTTTGATGTGACTATTGCAAAAATGTTATGACTCGCTGAAGGCTCAGATGATGGTTAGTGTTTTTTAGCAATGAAGTATTTTTTAATTAAGGTATGTACATTATTTTTTAGACATAATTCTACCACACAATAGACTACACTACAGTGTAAACATAACTTTCATATGCACTCGGAAACCAAAAAATTGTGTGACTTGCTTTACTGCAGGGGGTCTAGAACCGAATCCGCAATATCTCTGATGTATATTTGAAAGTTGCTAAGAGAGATCTTAAAACTTCTCATCACAAGGAAAAAAAACCTGTAACTCTGTGAGGTGATGGATGTTAATTAAACCTATTGTGGTAATCATTTTGCAGTATGTACATATATCCAATCATTAATTTGTATACTTTAAACTGATATAATGTTATATGTCAATTATATCTCAATAAAGCAGAAAATATCAAAAATTTAAAAAAGAAAAATACGATGGGTTTAACTACATCAACATGAAGATTTCTATTTGGTTAAAAAAAAAAAAACTCTTAGACAAAGTTAATCTACAGAAGAATACAGGCTGTGGGAAGATAGTCATAATGCCAAAAACAGGCAAGGGATTACTTTCTAGAATAGGAGTCAACAAGATTTTTCTGTAAAGGGCCAGATAGTAAATATGTTGGGCTATGCGGGCCATAAGGTCTGCTGCAAATAGTACAAAAGCAGCCCTAAACAGTACATAAATGAGTGGGCGTGGCTGTATTCTAATAAGTTAGAATTTCATATAATTTTGCTCATATCACACAATGTTATTCTTCTTTTCACATCGTTCAACCATTTAAAAACATAAAAACCATTCTTAGCTCATGGGCTATATAAAAACAGGCAGTGGGCTGGATTTGGCCCTGCAGGCTGTAGTTTGCCAACCTCTATTCTGAAATATGCCAGGAACATCTCAAACTTGCCCAGAGAAAAATGGACAAAGGCTAAAACTAAGCAGCTCACCAAGGAGTCTTGTTAAACTTATATGGTGATGCTCAACCTCACCAGAACTCAAAGGAATGCAAATTAAAACAAGGAGATATGAAACGAACACAACATCGTAAAACAACTATACCCCAATTAAAAAAAAAAATACAAAAACGAAAAAAAACAAGCAGACACCACCTTGCACCCGTGTCAAATGGGCAAAAAATTAGAAAGACAGGTAAAACTGTACGTTAGTGCAGATGTAGGGAAGTGGGCACTTCAGGCCCAAGCATGGCCGCTGGGAACGTGGACAGGGAGACCTTTTCCGAAGAGGATAAGACGAAATCTGGAGTGAAGTTGTACATTCCCTGTGACCCAGCAGGCCCACCAGAGAGGACATGTGAGGATGGCGCCATACTGTTCAAAGCGGCCGGGAGCTGGAAGTAACCCAGGGGGCCCACCAAGGGGGGGGGGGGGGGGGGGGATCAGATAAGAAAGTGTAGCACATACCTAGGGCAGAAATCTACGCAGTCATTAAAAGTGACAAACCAGATTTATAAACATCAGGGTGGAGAGTTCCAAAATAGTGTGTAGAGAGGAAAAAATAAGAAACAGAATGAGATTTTTTTTTCCCTAAAGCGCAATACCATTTTAGGAAATTAAACAAGCATAGGGCATAGTTTTCAAGAACACTCCAATATCTAAATAAGCTTCTGGAAGATGGGTGGCAAGGAAGGATATTACAGTGGGGGTGGAGGTGTATGACTGAGCAGCGGTTGCTGAATCACGGCCCATGGACACGGTTTTTACATTTTTAAATGGTTGGGAAAAACATCAAAAGAAGGATTCTCTTTGGGACACGTGAAAATTATAGGAAATTGAAATTTCAGTGTCCACACGTTTAAGTTTTATTGGTACACAGCCATGCTCTTTCATTTATGCATTGGCTAAACCTGCTTAAGTGCTACAAAGGCAGAACTGAGAAGCCAAACTCATCAAAATGTACACATTAAAAATGTGGGGCTTCCCTGGTGGCGCGGTGGTTGAGAGTCCGCCTATCGATGCAGGGGACACGGGTTCGTGCCCTGGTTTGGGAGGATCCCACATGCCGCGGAGCGGCTGGGCCCGTGAGCCATGGCCACTGAACCTACGTGTCTGGAGCCTGTGCTCCGCAACGGGAGAGGCCACAACAGTGAGAGACCTGCGTACCGCAAAAAAAAAAAAAAAAAAAAAAAATTAAATCACTTGGCCAACCTGTACACGGAGGGTGTGTGTGTGTTTGTGTGTGTCAAGGACTTCCGCAGTCCAGAGGGCCCAAGTTCGATCCCTGGTCCAGGAACTCAGATCCCTGGAAGCCACTTGGCGAGTCCAAAAAAAAAGGGGGTGGGGGGATCAAGGGTTCCCATAGAAGGATATTTGCATAGCATCTTTGACAGTAAAGATGCTGACAGTAAAGATGCGGGGGACACGGGTTCGAGCCCTGGTCTGGGAAGATCCCACATGCCGAGGAGCAACTAGGCCCGTGAGCCACAATTACTGAGCCTGCGCGTCTGGAGCCTGTGCTCCACAACAAGAGAGGCCGCGACAGCGAGAGGCCCGCGCGCCGCGATGAAGAGTGGCCTCCGCTCGCAGCAACTAGAGAAAGCCCTCACACAGAAACGAAGACCCAACACAGCCAAAAATAAATAAATAAATAAATAAATAAAAATAAAAATCAGAAGGAAAGAAGCAAAAGTGTTGACAGCAGCTGTGTCTGGGTGGTGGTGGGTTTATGGGGCTTGTATTTTGTGTTCCAGATTCGTCTGTACTTTCCAAACCTTCCACAAACAATATGAATTGCTTTCATAGGACTATGTTTCGAACAAGAGCACAGGAAATTTCAAAGCCTTGGAGAGATCTCACGGATGCACCTGCCTGGCTACCCCTTCTCCCACTAATCTCTCTGTGGTGCCTTTGAAAGGTGAGGGGTGAATGAGACTTTATGGGGTCTCCAGGCCTCTGCCTGCCCCACCCACCTTTGCCAGCCTGAGGGGGAGGCTGCCTGTCACCTTCCCTGCCCTTGGCTGCAGCAAGCAAATTCTAGATGTCAGAGAGGCTGGGCTCCTTCCTGCCTCCTCCTCCAGGGAGTCCTCCCTGACCTACCCATTGAGCTGACCGACCTAAAAGAACACACAGTCCGAACACTCATCAAGGACTTCCCTGGCGGTCCAGTGGTTAAGACGCCACGCTTCCACTGCAGGGGGCGTGAGTTTGATACCTGCTTGGGGAACTAAGATCCCCGCAGGCCTTGTGGTGTGGCCAAAAAATAGAAAAACAAATACACAAACAGAAACCACTTGTCAAGCAGCCACCCGGCTGCTTCTTTCCTTTCACATCTTGGTTCAAAGAGCAACCTACCAGCGCCTGGTACCATACTGAACACTCACACCAACTGATGCACTTAAGATCACACTGATCTGGTGACATCAGGTTGTCAGGACCCCCAATTTGCAAATTTGGCACAGAGAGGTTAAACAGCTTGCTCAAGGGCACAAAGCTAGGGGGCAAGGAAACCAGAATTTGAACACAGGCCGCCACCCCATCCAACCACCACCCACCCCGTGCCCATTTTATTTGCTCCAAACGTGTTCTCTGAAATTATTTTTCTTCACGTGTTTTTGGTGGTCTCTTATTTGTTTATCGCAGGGGCTTTTGTCTGTCTTGTTCACTGCTGTGTCCCCAGTGCCTGGAAGAGTCTGGCACATAGCAGGCACTCAATAAATGTCTGCCGGATGAGAAGGTATCGAAATGAATTAGCACACACCAGTTCCACCCAAGCAAGGCAGAGATTAGGGCTGGCTGCAGCAAGAAGGAATCAAGTGAGACACAAAGAAGAACTTTCTCAGGGGCGGTAGCTTGCACAGGGTGGGGACATTGCTAGGTCTGTGTGTTCTGCAGGCAGAAGGCCCCGTGGCTGCCCTGAGAGGCATGTCTGGAATGGAGGTTGCCTCTCAAGAGATCTCGAGGCTGGGCAGGGCGGGGCCTCTGGCTGGGGTCCAGGGTCGCAGGGCTGGATGTTTGGGATAGACAGAGCAGAAGGGTGGAGTCCAGAGCTGTCCAGGAACAACATGGGGAAGTAAGAAAACACAGCTGGGTCCCTGACTCCCAGCTGGTGCCCTCTGGTCCCTCCATGGGCTCTGGCCACCTGACATTCAAGGCTGGGATGGGGATCTGGGCCCCACCTTTGAGCTCTGCTGTAGGTTCAGAATGGCCTGGGCTTAGATCCTGGCTGTGTGACACAGGGCAAGTGAAGCTTCTCCCCAGGCCTCAGTTTCCCCAGCTATAACAAAAATTGACCTGAAAATCATTAGTAGATGGAGTAACAAGCACTGGCTAAGCACTTACTGTATGCACTAATTCACAAGAGTCTTAGAGATGGGGGGTCATTATTATGCCACTTCACAGATAAGGAAGCTGAGGCCCAGGGAGGTGGAGCTTCTCATTCAGGGTCACACAGTAAGAAGTGAAATTTGAACCCAGGTTGCCTGGCTGCACAGCCCACCGTCTTAACTTCCTCTGTAGGTGAAACACTTATCAGAGCCCTCAGCACCAAACTGGTATTCGATAAAGAACAGCTGTTATTATTATGAATCATTCTGGCAGCTCCTCCCAGGGGCCTCAGGACGGGCAGTGGTGGGACAGCTGCCATTCTGCACATCCCACATCCCCTTTCCTGGAATGAGGACTCAGCAGTTCCTCCAGGGAGCAGCCCCTTCCTCCCTCAGGACTTGGGTGGGGCTCCTCTACCCCCAGGATCTGGGCCTGGGCAGTGAGATACACAGTGATTAGCTCAGTGATGGGCATATGACCCAAGCCAGCCAAGGAGGGCCACCCGTGGGATTTTTCTTGGTGCTATCTGGATTAAGGGGCTCCCTTTCCACTGAGCTGCA